TGGTAAAACCTTACCACAACACAACCCTAATTTGTACTTCATCTTCCTTACACTACTCTGTAGTAGGTCTGTGATGTATCCATGTGTGTACTAGTTGACAGCTTCCCATCTCATCCCAGTTCTCTGTACAAATCCAGTGTCACGATGACAGTCGTGACTGTTGTTCCCTGTGTTACCCTTTGTTTTCCCCATTCTTGTGTTGTGCACTTGTCTCTGTCTGTGTGGTGGGAGTGGCACATTTCCCTGATCCTGCCTGGATAATCACCGAAGCACACCTGCTGTTCCTCAGCACCTGCCTTCAATCAACTCATCACTCTGACTGCATAAAAACCCTGGCCTTTCTCCCACATCTTGTCAGATTGTTTGTTCAGCCACTGTGGTAGCTGATGTCCCGATTGACTTCAACTATTGTTCTTCCCGTTGATTTATGGAATGATCTTTAATCACCGATCTTCTTGTGCTCAGGTCCACCTCCTGCTACCTGCTTGCCTGCTCTCCACTAGCCATCTCCGGACAGCCTACACTCTGTGCCTCCTCCATCCGCTTCAACCACTGCTTTACCTCAGCCATTTCCTCCATCTCATTATCGGACCCTCTCCTTCCCCTTTTTCTCCCACAGCAAAATAAATCCTTATTTCTCACCTACCGTTGTCTGAGCCGGCATTTTGGGTCATGGTGTAAATCATGACATCCAGTCCGAGTGCCAATGAATTGCATTCACTGAATCTAACATGAATGTAATTCCATACCTCGGTCTAAGCATCTTTTTCACAAAACCAGGTAATATTTATCTAGCTTTAATGAATGCATTTGTTTAGCTTTCACAGAAAAAATGAAATGCACATGGTGACAAAAGTGTCTGACCTGTGGTTAATCACAGCAGCTCAGACCAAGGTGACGCTGCCCTAAGCTCTAAAGTCCCAGTGATCTATAACCGTACTCCTGTGACATGGTTGCATCAAAAATCTAATATAACCAATAATTAAAAGGAAAACCTTTACTGCCAGAATTTTGTGTCACAGTTTGACTATTCATTGTTGATTGTTTATATTTTGGCATTCTAAGGTGGTGGTTGTAGTTGTGGTCATTAAGCTTGTTTTCATTGTCCTGCTAAATGCTGATTTACTCTGTGTTAAATTAACTGTAGTGATTTACTGTAACACAGGACAGAGTGCACATTCAAAGCCACTAAAAAGACATTAATGTCTTTTTATTAAATTATTTTGTTCATATGTTTTTTCTTTTTAGATAGTAGATAGATAGTAAATGAATATATTCAGTCTCTAGACTCCACGCTCTACTGGAGTTTTTTGAGGCTAACGTTTATGAACTTTTATAAAAAGGGGAAAGAAAATGTAGATATAGAAAAAAGGAATTAAATAAACCACATGAGACCATGAAAAGTCTCGAACCAAAGAGAAAATTATTTTTTTAATTGTACTTCTAAGTGTCCTTAGTGTCTGTTAGTTTTCTGACAGAACAACAAC